CAGAGACCCAAAAATTGGAGAAGTTTCTCCTTTACCTGTCTCCTATAATATCAAAATTTCTTGACTTTATCCACTGAATAGTTTTCGATTTATTTTTTTCGTTGCGTGACAGTGAAAACCATCTATACCCATACCCAATGCATATATTTATTGGAGAATCAGGAAGGCTGATGAATTCTAGACTCTTTAACCGGAAGGCAAATATTTGATGGCAGTTTGAAAACTTGCAAAACTACCTGTACAAGGATTTGGAAAACCACTGGCGCATGACTAGAGGGCAAAACATTTTCTTCCCTTACAAATCCTTCTAATTTCTAACACCCATAGCAATTTGTCCTTAAAGTGTATAAACCTGAAAATTGGCATGTGAGCTTAGTTTTAAAATAATGTTTTTTTCTATTTCTGATACCATTATGTATTGCCAATGACTAAATCAGTGTGTTTTTGAAAAGCACATCATGTGACCAACTGTTGTTAAAGGCCTATAGCAGAATGTCAGTGACAACATTCATGTTATCATTACAACATTTACTTTGTGCGTGTAGGTTGAAGTGTCCACCTGGTCATTGGTGTGAGGAAGGCACAAGATCACAATTTGAACATCCTTGTCCAGCCGGCACATTTAACAAGGAGATAGGACTTGAACGACAAGACCAGTGCCTCGATTGCTTACCAGGGTACTATTGTCCTGCTGGTGATCAGTATGGTGATCAACTGTGTCCAGGAGGTCATTATTGTCCATTCAAAACAGGAGCCGCTAAAACTAACCCCTGCTCTGCTGGGACGTACACTGAAGAACAAGGAGCACAAGGTAGGGAATAGTGCTAGATTCTGGTTATTAGTGAGAAAATTGTGGTACACATATATGAGTATCATATCCTGAGCCCAGGTGGAAGACTTTTGTATAAAAAGGACAGGGGTGCTAGTCCTACCTTCTAGGGGTTAAAAAGGTAGTTTTGAAACCTCCTAGGGTGTTCATCATAACAAGATCCACAGCCGGAGCTTTCACAGTACCTTTTATAGTATTGAGCTGAAAAAACTTGTGACAGGAGATAAGTGTTGGTACCACCTAGGGGTTAAAAATATTTTAAGTAACACTCACAAAACAGGATCTTGGTACCTGTTAGGGGTTCTTTTTATAATGGAGCCCCCTCCCCCTTGGGATCCTGATCAAGCTTCCTTACATGTCCAGCAGACAGGTGATGGAATAAAGAAAGCCACGAGTTGGGGGTTACCTTTTTTATCTACTACCTAATTCTCAGAAAACATTTAAAAGAAGTTTGTATGACTTCATTGCTATGAGTTAACTAAATTGAAGGAGTAGCAGTTGTTAATCTGAAGTAACAGGATCCCTCAAGAAGTCACTGGAAATATCAATATAGTCACGGTATTCCTAATCTTCTTGGTAATGCACTTTCTAGGCCAGTTGGACTGCAAGGATTGTCCACCAGGCTATTACTGTCCATCAGGAGCTCTTGAACCTGTGGCCTGTCCAAAGGGTACATATAACCCCATATCTCTTAGGGGATCATTGGGAGAGTGCCGCTCATGTATCTCAGGCATGGCTTGCCCTCGGCCTGGTCTTACTTGGCCACCAGTGAAGTGCGATGCAGGTTATTATTGTCCTGCTGGGTCATCACTACCAAATGAGACCATCCATGCTTGTCCAGCAGGGACATACACTGACTACCATAACTTGACTCATGCTAGAGAATGCACTGACTGTCCAGGAAGACAGTCATGTGAGGCAGGGACTGGAGGAATACAAAAGCCACCTCAGGAATGTGCTAAAGGTATACATTGTAAATTCCTGATTTCCTTTCTTTCAAATTAAGTCGTTCCTGACCAACAATTGTAATTTCTTTCTTGTATACAGTATTTGGCAAGAGTCCAGGGGGAGGGGATACTTTACAAAGTTCTATATTGGGAGGCTCTGCCCCGAAGTCCAACCTCATACCCCTTTGTCTACCATTTTGACAGAATAGGTACCCCTTTCATATACCTTTAATTTCATACTTTCATAACTGGCTCATACTATGAATAAACTGCCAAAGGGAGTATTCTTATCTGTAGTGCCTAGTAATTGAAATGATACAGCCATAAGGTGTGTTTGTTCAAAATAAATTATTTTAACCAAAGGCCCTTTGAAATAACAAAGTGACAGATTTCCCCACCCTTTCATATACCTGAGCCTGAAAAGAGTTACCCCTTTTGGGCAGAGCCTCCCCATATAGGCCATTATAGGAAGTACCCCCTCCCCCCGGGGAGAGGGGGTGGGGCAAGAGTCTCTTTGCTACACAGTACAAGGACACTCAGTAGACTTAAACCACAACCTCCTGATCTGTGCTGCAGTGTTTATTTATACAATACACCTGTCTTCCACAAGCTCAGGTTGAAGTCAGGGTCATTGCTTCAGATGTAATTTTACTATAAGCTGTAAGAAGTAGTACCAAATTTAGTCAATGCAGGGGATATAAGCAGGGTCTTAGACAGGACAACTGACTGATTGGCCTATTAGCCAGGCAAATATGGCTGTGTCTGCTTGTTAGCCTTAGTGGATATTTATATATCTAGCTAATAGTATAAGATAAGAATTTACACCTTTCGATTATATTTTTGTTACAAAAAGTTGTGACGTATTATGATTTTGTAGGTCATTACTGTCCCAGGGGGACCATGAGTCCTACACAGTTCCCATGTGTAGAAGGATCTTGGACAAACCTCACAAACTTGATTTCACAAGAAGAGTGCTACATATGTCCAAAGGGCTATTTCTGTCTCCGAGGTGTCTCCACACCATCTGGTCTGTGTTTCACAGGACATTACTGCCCACGAGGTATGTTCAGAATTCAAAAATTCACCAATCTGCATACTTGTCGTTGGGTTCTTTAGCAATACCCTTTCTAGAACCAAAGCAGCTTTCATTTAATCACAATAACATAGATCGACGTCTTCACTATCGGCTACAACACTTTATTAAGCATTGCAGAAAAGGGTTTTTCAGCATCAATATTAAAATACAAAAAAATAAATAACAGAGATAACTAGAAAAACTATGTACAATTACAATTACAATGACTGTATAACTATGTACAAATTAACTCATTAATTAAATGTTTCTTTTAAACTTAAGGATCAAATCCTCCTTTAGATTTTTCCATATTTTTACACCATGAAAATAAAAGGCGTGCTGGCTAAAAGCAATTCTACAAGATGGAAGGCTGCCCCTATGTCTTGTTTGTTTGTTGTAGGTAGTAGACTGGGTACAAAATTTGTCTAGTTGCCGTTCTAGTATAGTTATAGTAGTCTGGCCATGGATTCCTACATCTGTTAGTTAAGCTATGCAGCAAATTTTCCCTTAATAGAGGTTATCAGGTTCTTTTAATGTTGGTTTTGCTTGTCTAAAAGGTACCAAACGAGGCACTGAATTTCCCTGTCCTGCTGGCACATACAACAACAGAACAGGTCTGGAACGAAAAGAAGACTGCGTACCCTGTACAACTGGTCACTATTGTCCACAGGGCACAACAAATCCAATAGAATGCCCGCGAGGTACTTTCAATGACGAGCTTTCAGCTAAGGTACGAAACACAACTCCCACATGTCTTGTAAATACATGAAACATTACCTTGAGGTTTAAGAGTTACTTTGTGAAAAGAATCAAGTTTTGCACTTGAATCAAACATTAAATAGTGTAATCACTGATGTGTCTGACTGTGTTGTAATGTTGAACAAGGATATTTTTCCTTTAGTAGAAGAGATACTTCATTCTCTTTAAAAATGCAAGGTAATTTATCTTGCCTTCTGCCATGTACAAATGCCTTTAATCTTTAAGTGCATGTGTTGCAGCTATCATCCTAAGAAAATCAAACCTTGATGTAATTGTCTATTACATCATCTAGTGCTAAAGTGACGATACTGTAGTTTTACTACCAACCTATCTGAAGAAACATCGTGACTATCTTGAGCTTAGTAGAACATGCTGTTTACAACATCGTGTATTTCAATTTTTTTGCAGAACCTTGATGGCTGTAAGCAATGTGTTGCTGGGTACTATTGCCCCAGTTTGGCAAACTTCGAGCTCCTTGCTTGTGAACTGGCAAATTACTCGGTAATGTGTATCTTCAGCTTTGAATTTAACATAGTCATATAATCTTTATACTTTGAAAACAAGAAAAATCCCAGCATTTGATCAATATAATTTGTGTAATAAAACATAGTTCTCTGCCAAAAAAAAGTCTGTATGCTTTGATCAACAAAATACAATTGATTTTCACATGCTCTTTCTTAGGATTGCACATTTTTCTTTAGACAAACTAGGGAGGTGAAGAAGGATTTATTGTATTACTTTTTGCTTACTTTCACAGGGTCCTGGTGCCTCTGAATGCACAACATGTGAGGCAGGGCACTATTGTGACAGTAGAACAACGAGCAAGGCAGAGATGATAGGTACTAAAATTTGCCCAGCTGGAACACACTGCCCACCAGGCACTCTGGAAAAACCAGACTTGCACGATAGTACTTATGCCTGTTGGAAAGGTCACTACTGCCTAAGGGGTGATGAGGTACAGCTTGTTGGTTGTCATAAGCCTCTAACCAGTCTTAATGAAATGTCCTGACAATCGTATAATCTTAGGGAACATTTCCTAGACAAAGCAAAAATGCAGTTGGCGATACTGTTGTCAGAATGTTTTCTTTTTTTTGTACAGCCAATATTATTTGAATCTATCCAGGTAACCTTTAGTGTTAATGCATGGATCCTCCATCACTGCATCATGTCTGTTATGCCCTGCCAATGGCCTTTTGAGATGCTTTGTCAAATGTACAGCGGCTTACAGAATATTACAGAATGGAACATGCCAAATGTGACTAGTTCATTGATCATGAGTCATCACTTGAAACACACTCAGGCAAAAAAAATGTCATACACAAAGAGTAATGAAAGGGCATTTTGTTGTGTGATTAATTTGTTTTTTATTTGTTTGTTGAAAGGTTTGGACATGTGGTCAATTGGTATTTAACTAGACAACTTTCTTTCCAACAGAATGCTTATCCTATCAAATGCCCAAATGGAACCTTCAACCCTCACGAAGGTCGGAAGCATGTCAGTGAATGTGTTAAATGCACAGAAGGCTTCTATTGTGAGCCAGAAGGCTTGGAAAAAGAGGTGAATTCCTTGTTTTTTTGTAACAGACATGGTATTCATTACCTTCTAGAGGTGTAGAAGTACTTTGCTGACATCATTTACTTAAACCATAGTTAGTGGAGGGGTCCCCTCCACTAACTATGCTTAAACAGATGATCAAAATACTGAGCTTTAAATGGTTTGTCTTATTTGTTTACTGGGCACAACGTGACCCAATTAATTTTGTGTTTAAGTTTAAGAGGACTTGACACTGTAATGGATAGTTTAAGATTCTCAGTATTTATTTGCTCAAGGTTATTGAAATAGTTATTTGAACTCTGATCCAATGATAGTGACTTAGTCTTTGAGGTAAATAAATTTACTACAGTGGAATCCCGATTTTTCAAACTTCCAAGGGAAACGAAAATTGGTTCGAAAAATCGGAGATTTCGAGAAATTGGGAGTAAAATTACAGTGTTCGACTAAGGAGGGGAAACGACTTTTGTTTCGAGTTATCGGGAGGTTCGAAAAATTGAGAGTTCAAGAAATCGGGATTCTACTGTATATGAACAGAATACAAAATTTTAACTAAACGTAATACAGGTTTAACTCACCCTCAAAAAGTGCCACTGTAATGCCTATAACTGTAGATGTGTAACATACTAATGAGTATCAGAAGACTTAATATGTTTAACGTTAAGGTTAGAGAAGCAGCCTGGTTGTGTAGGGGATCCCTTTCATGGATGACTAAAGAAATTGTCATCTATTGTTACTGTACGGTAAAGGTAAAGTCTGCATGTAAGCCAAGTGGTCCATCAGGCTGGCACTTACCTTTGGTTTCTGTAGCATGAAGCAACTAGGAGTATTTCTACTCCCCCCTTGATTCGATGCTAGTCGATCGCAGGGTTACTCCCAGCATTAAATTCACTAGTACCCATTTATACACCTGGGTGGAGTGAGGCACCATGAGAGTAAAGTGTCTTGTCCACAACAGTGTCCCTGGCTAGGGCTTGAACCCAGACTGCTCAATCCAGAGTTCAGCGTACTAACCATGTGGCCACCACGCGTCCCAAAACTGTAACATATTTCTTTTTTCAGGCTGATGTTTGCCCTCCTGGGTACTTTTGTCCGGAGGGAACAGGATACAGATTTTCCCAGCCATGTCCAGTGGGATTTTACAGAAAACTGTCTGCTGCAGTTTCTGTACAGGATTGCAGTGTTTGCTTCTCTGGTCACTTCTGTGATGTCCCTGGCCTGGAAGATCCTGAAACATGTCCAGAAGTAAGTCAAGATAACTTGAATAACTAAGTGCTACTTTGTATGCAGCCCGGCTTTGTCATTATCGCTATGCCTCCGACATTGTTTCCTTAAAACCTGCTGGAACGGTCTGTTGACTGGATCGATCGATCAATTTATCACTGCAAAAATGTGGGAGGAGGTTGACCTCCATATCCAAGCCAGATGCTCATGTATAAAACACTTGACAATTAATAAAAAATTACAATGAACTAATGTGAGTAAATATGAATTAAATATGGTGAAATCTGCAGTGTCCGCTTAATACAGGGTGTCTGCTCTAAACAGGTCCTGATATACAGTTGAACCCCACTAATGAAAAATAATTCGAAATAGCAGGAGTTTGAAGTAGCTGATAGTAAATGACTGAAGAAAAAATCCAAGGAAAATGGTTTTGAGTTCGAAATAACGGGGAATTCGAAATAACAGAGTTCAAATTACCTGGGTCCGACTGTATTGTGCAACAATAGTGAATTATTAAACCTTTTGTAACACAGTGCAACACAGTGCAAGATCAAAGACTGCTCATATCACAGTGTTCAGTCAGTCAAAGCATCAATCTGGAATAATCTGCTTAGCTTTAAAAGGACATTTCTGAACAATGTTAAAGGACTCTGAGCTGAGCTGAGCTTTCAGAAGCAAAAAGCCTTTAAAGTGTCCGCTTATTACAGGCATAGTTAGTAGCTATGTTACAGGTTTTGTGTAACAAAATGGCTTAATATCGGTGTCTGCTGAATGCAAGTTTATTTTATAGTAAATGTGGGAAGGAAATTTAGGGACTAGATCGAGGGTGTCTGTTACGAAAAATTGTCTAAGTCAATTTCTAGAACAATCTAGTACCGGACGTCATTCAGCCGTGACCAATTTGTATAAGAACATTCCAGAACATTCTAATCCTTATGTAATTACTCAGATTAGAAACTGTGTCAAACTACTT